TGTGTGTGTGCTTTTCAGAATGTAACCTCTATATAGAAGTGACATATTTTTAAGACAAGTCAAACAACATATTGCTTATTTAGAAGAAATTATACTGCAATGAACAGATGACAGATATTCTTTGTTTTCTTGTTAGTTCTTCCCAACAGTATGTATTCTCCAGAGGTCTGTGTCCCCTGAGTTAAGCAGCTAGATGTGAGCAAACTGCATGATCATGGAATATAGGTTCAAGATCTGTCTCTTTTCGGGCATCCCCATGCTCCTACCAAAAACTTTGACAGATGGAAAAATGTTGTTAGTTCCACCCCTTATTGAATTCTGTTCTGGAAGAGTCACTTCCTTTAAAGGAATGCAAAAATGTACCAGAATATTTTAATCGTGAGGCAGAATGTATATGTAGTATGTTCATAATGGCAAGGAAGGCCACAATTAAAAATATATACCAGGAGAATCTGTCTTTTGGTAATTTACTTTAATGTTGGGCATATTTTCCTTCTTCTGTGATGTGTTTAAATCCAGTAATTGCTTTGAGAGGGGGGAAAAAAACTATCAGGGCTGAGGGAGAGTATTGTCTATTGAGTTCAGTGAGCATTGCGTATACAATCTGCCAAATTTTATTTTCGTGATTCCTAGGATAATTTGACAGAGTTTGAAACTTTGTTCTTAATTGCTATATTATACTAGAGGATTTAAGTGAAATCTTAAAGGTAGGTTTTGTTTTTTAATTAAATTTATTGGATTTAGTGAAATAGAGAACACACATGAACACAAGCATAGAAATGATAAATCTTACATATTTTAAATGTTCTAATGATATATGTGAAAAGAATATTGATCATGAGAAAAAGTAATATTTGGATAACTACAGAAGTTTTCTTGGAAGAGCTGTATAGGGAAATTGTGACGAAACAAGACAAATTTAAATCATGAGTGGAGGAATGAAGTCAATTCAGTAGATTAGAAGAAATAAATATTTTCGTAGAATACAATTTTAAGAAACATGTATGAATAGACAGAATTGCTTCTTGATGTATTAAGGAAATATCATCAAAATCCATAGCCTCTGTTTGTGCACTTTGAAAGAAAGTGGAGACAAAAACTTCAATGACTGTATTCAAGGGTTGTTTGAATGGTAGGCTTTTTAAAAATATATTTTTAATTGTAGATGAACACAATACCTTTATTTTGTTTTATTTATATGAGTCTCTGAGGATCAAACCCAGTACCTTACTCATGCTCTGCAAGTGCTCTACTACTGAGCTACATCTCCAGTTTAGATGATATTTTTTGTTAGTTAGCAAAATGTGTTGAACTGCCTGCTGGCCACAGTAGGAGTGAAGAATGAGAGACAGCTTGGTAGTTCTTTATTTTTCTTTAACCTTGACTGATTTTACAGCAGCCTCAGCCTGAGTTTTGGAAAGTATAGGCAAATGCAAAAAGCACCAGGCAGTGGTGGGGGAGCAGTCAGTGGGCACTGGAATTCAAAAGGGAATGTTAATTAAAATCTGAAAGGTTTTCACATACAAATTTTTAAGACTATGCTGTCTTTTGTGATGCCCTAAATGTTGATAAGATAGAATGCTGCAATCTTAGCAATCCTGCAGGCACTTATCTTAATGACCTCCAAGGAACACTATAACTTTCACCACAATATTATTCTAGCATGAATTGTCTTGTGTGCATTTTTATGTACCTTTTTATTCATAAATAAGGAACACACACTGCAGACCACCTCAAAATGATAGTGAGGTAGGTAGGGAAGGAACATCTTTTTTTTTTTTTTAGAGAGAGAGAGAGAAAAAAAAATTTTAATATTTTTTAAGCTTTTGGTGGACACAACATTTTTTTGTTTGTATGTGGTGCTGAGGATCCAACCCGGGCCACATGCATGCCAGGTGAGCAAGCTACCCTTGAGCCACATCCCCAGCTCAAGAAGGAGCACCTTTATGTGCTCCTGAACCCTTCCATTTTCCGATGCCTCCCTATGGTAGCATACTAAAATCACATTATTGATCTAATAGTTGGGATGCAAGAAGAGTTAATAATTGCTTGAATGACTAATTGCTCAAATCATAATGCAATGTAGAAGACTGGAATGGTTACTAATGATCAATAAACCTAGTTGGAAGTGAAATTATAATCCAGGATTCTAGGCAGAAATCAACCTGAATTAAGGCAATAAGTAGAGTTAGGGGTTGTACAATTGGATCAAAGGCCATGAAGCCAATAAAGGGAGATAAGAGAAGAATCAAGCTGAGCATAAAATTTTAAAATCAATGCAGAATCTCTAAATTTCTCCAAGATCATTAGAGTATGAATCTGTGGTTTATGGCTTTTGTCAGTAACCCTGACAAAATTTGACATGGTAGTGAGTGAACCTGACTCAGTTCAAACAATTAACTGCAAACTGTATATTTGTAGAGATATAGAAATAATAGTTTCCTGAGTTTCTTCCTCCGTGTCCTTGATCAGTTTTCTTTGGTTAGTGAGTCTAGTGTCAGTGCTTAACGTCAGATAAAGAAGGTTAATGTTGTAATAAGAATATTGAACATACACTCTGGGATATGTTTTAACCCTTTGAGAAAGTAAATAAATATTCAGTAAATATAAAATAAGGTTATTTAGCCAGGCAAAGTAAGAAGACTGAATAAAGTGTCTTGAAATATTTGAAAGTCGATATTCTGAGAATTATCATTATTTTTCTTTGTTCCTTAGAATGAGAAATGTGTATACTGAGAAAGAACAATTCTAAACTTCAATACTAATAAAGGACATTACAAGGTACACGTTTAAATATGGAATTGACTATGATGAATAGTGCCTCAGTTTCTTGTCATGACAAGGATTCAAGAGAACTCTGAAATGTGAGCTCAGTGGCTTTATTGTGAAAATGGGTGGCAGGAATTTTGTTAATGGAGGCTCAACACAAAGCTTGCAAAACAGAATTCTTAGAATTTGGTTTTATTTACTTTTTTTTCTATATATACATGACAGTATATTGTATTTTGACGTATTACACATACATAGAAGAAAATATAACTAGTTCCAATTAGAATCCCATTATTGAGGTTATATATGACATGGAGTCACATTGTTCGTGTATTCATATGCAATAGGAAAGATAGGCCCAATTCATTCTACTGTTTTTTTCTATTCCCTGTCCTTACCTTCATTATCCTTTTTTTTAGTCTAATAAACTTTTACATTTCCACTCCCTTGTCCTGGGTTAGTAATCAAATATCAGAGAAAATATTCTGCCTTTGATATTTTGGCATTGGCTTATTGCACTTCTCCAGTTCCATCCATAATTTCATTATTCTTTAGGACTGAGTAAAATTCCATTGTATATATTTACCACATTTTCTTTATCCATCCATCTGTTGAAGGGCTTTTACATTGATTCCATAGCTTGGCTATTGTGAATTGAGGTACTGTAAAAATTGAAGTGGCTGCATCACTATACTATGCTGATTATAAATCCTTTGAGTGTAAACGAGGTGTGGGACAACTGGGTCAAATGGTGGTTCCATTCCAAGTTTTCTAAGGACCTTCACATTGCATTCCAGAGTGCTTTCATGAACTTACAGTCCCTCCAGCAATGTCTGAGTGTATGTTTTTCCCCACATCCTTGCCAACATTTTTTATTTCTTTTATTCTTGATAATTGCCATTCTGACTGCAGTGAGATTACATCTTAGTTTAGATTTGACTTATCTAAGTTTTAGAGATGTTAAACATTTTTTTTCATATATTTTTTGACATTAATAATTTATCTTCTGTGAAATGCCTATTCTGACCCTTAGCCCATTTATTGATTAGGTTATTATTTTATTTTTACTTTAAGTTTTTTGACTTCTTTGTATATCCTGGAGGAGCTTTTGTTAAAGATTTTCTCCCATTCTGTAAGCTCTCTGTTCATGTTCTTGATTGTGTCCTTTGCTGTGAAGAAGCTTCTTAGTTTGATACCATCTCATTTATCAATTCTTGATTTTGATTCTTGTGCTTTAGGTGCCTTATTGAAGAAACTGGTACTTAAGCCAACATGATAGAGAGTTGGGCCTACTTTTTTTTTCCAGTAACGCAGAGTGTTCGTTCTACCATTTAGATACTTGATCCACTTTGAGTTGAGTTTTAAGCTTTTTATTATTTTGTACTTATTTGCATATTAAAAGCATTTACTATTCCCAAGGACTTATGTGATTTGATAATATGAATAAGACAATCATCTCAATGATAGTCTGAGATTACTACATGTATCCTTGTCTGTCATAAAATTGTATTTTAATGTGAAGTCTTCCATACATCAGAAATTCCATATATAGACAATTTTTATAAAATTGTGATGTTGAACACTTCCACTTTTTTTTTATTCCAGATAAGACAACTACCATCCTGAAGAACACAGCAACTTGCTCTGAAGCACCAGCCAGTAAGATTGCCAAGGGG